CAAGCAAGGAACACCTGGCCGTCCTCATCACAGGCTGATCGGTCACAGCTGCAGCTCATCAGGCGGCGGCCACATAAGCCACGCAAGCCCTGCCATCTGGGAGACTTCTCCATGAGACTGAGCACTAACTCGCCCTCTCATTTCTCCCACAGACAGCTTCAATTCCGTCCCACAGACGGAAGAGAGCACTCACGGCACCGGAGCACCTACCTGGACCTTTCTCCCTATCACCCACCACACCAATAAATCCACCCTCCGGGGTATTGATTGAGATTTCCTTGTCGTGTGATTCTTCACCCCGTTACAATATATATATATTTTTTTATATATATTTTGGGAAATTACTGCCAACTACAGTAATACTGTGGTGTGATCACAAGAGGTACAGACCATTTCATGATTTTTATTTTTTTTTTATCATTTTTTGAGCTTGACAGCCACGGTAACTTTTAATTTTCCTTTCATGGAAGAAGAAAGTCATACAGATTTGAAACATGTCAGTATGTAAATAATGACAGTTTTCATTTTTGGGAGAATTATTCCTTTAAATCATCTTCATGCTAAGTGGAACTTAGAAATATAAAATACAATTAATGTAAAAATAAGAAATATATATATACACACACACACAACCATTCAAACACTTAGGGTTTAATGTTTGTGAAAGAAGTCTCTTATGCTTACCAAGGCTGCATTTATATGATCAAAAATACAGTAAAAAGAGTAATATTATAATGAAATATTGCAATTTAAAATAACCATTTTGTATTTTATTATATTGTAAATGTAACTGATTCCTGTGATGGGAAATATGAATTTTCAGCAGCCACTATTCCAGTCTTCTGTGTCACATGATCCTTTCTAAATCATTCTAATATGTGACCCTGGACCACAAAACCAGTCATAACAGTCTATTTTTTTTTACATTTAGATTTATACACCATCTGAAAGCTGAATAAATAAGCTTTCCATTCTTGTATGGTTTGTTAGAATAGGACAATATTTGGCCGAGATACAACTATTTGAATATATGGAATCTGAGGGTGCAAAAAATCAAAATACTGAGAAAATCGCCTTTAAAGTTGTCCAAATTAAGTTCTTAGCAATACATATTACTAATCAAAAATTAAGTTTTGATATATTTACTGTAGGAAATTTACAAAGTATCTTCATGGAATATGATCTTTACTTAATATCCTAATGATTTTTGGCATAAAAGAAAAATCTATCATTTTGACCCATACAATGTATTTTTGGCTATTGCTACAAATATACCCCAGCGACTTAAGACTGGTTTTGTGCTCCAGGGTCACATATGCTGATTTGATGTTCAAGAAACATTTCTTATTATTATCAATGTTGGAAATAATAGTGCCGCTTAATATTTTTGTGGAAACTTTAATTAATTTTTTAAA